GCCTGCAAATCAGCAATATCGATTCTTTAAAGCAACATTTCGGCGCCCGTCTACATACGTGGAAATATCGATAGTACAAATAGAATGCAAAGCTTTCTTCGAAATAAAAAATTAGCAAAGATTCTTTAGCCATCGCCGGCTGACAATAAAAACAACGTAAAATTTCTGCATCAGCAAATGTAATCTCTGTGGACTTTCCGAGTTTGTTGTGTCCCACTAAATGCATACCTTTTGTTACTGTGTCGTTGTCACTGTTACAGGTTATGCATCTGTACGAAACGTGGACGTCATGAGACTTCTTGGTGATGGTGGTATTCTTCACACCAAATTCTGGATTGTTGATGCGCTGCATGTTTATATTGGTTCAGCAAATATGGACTGGAAGTCCCTCACAGAGGTAAGGAGATGAATTAGCCTGTTCTTCTGCACTAATTAGATGAACTGTACGCACACGCGATAGTTGCATCTAATGTTCTCAAACGACCGGTTCGATTCATAAGCCAAAACTGTTAAGAGTAAAGTTTTAATCTGTATGAGACACAGGGCGGCACTTTACATCAGCAACCATCGCAAGCAAAGATGTCTGTTAACAAATCCTTTTCCAAGGACTAAGAGGAGTTGAGCAGTGAAGAGTCATACGTCGCTAAATGTATGGCATAATCCGTTTCAGGTGAAAGAGCTAGGTCTTATCGTTTGGAACTGTACTTGCATAGCCAATGATTTGTCCAAGATTTTCAATATTTACTGGCGGCTGGGTATTAAGGATGCAAAAATTCCCTACAAATGGCCGTTAAATTTACGCACGCATTTCAACTTCACCAATCCACTGAAGCTTTCTACGACTGAGGATAATATAGCAACGTTCATATCGGTTTGTCTTTTCGCAGGTTTTTTTTTTTTTTTGAAAGCACTGCTCATCGTCATCGGTTCTTGTCAGTTGTTTTTTATAAACTATATAAATTTTTCTATGTTTTCGCACGAAATTCTGACCCATCCACCTCGTGATGTAGGAACTAATTGGACGGTGTCAAGCCATAACAGGATACAAATTCTGGCGGAAGTCAGTAAGGTTTTATGCTGTATTGTATCCGGCTAAACTTCGAAATTACGGGCCTGGATGAGAAACCGACCAGCTTATTTTACTAACCAGTGACTGTGCAAAAATGTAAGTGGCGCGAAAATTTAAATTTTTAGAGTTCTCCACGACAGCTTAATGCGAAAGGGCGCGAAGAGGATGGCGATGCAATTGTTGCTGTAATGGACGACGCGCGCGATTTTGTGCATATTTCAGTAATGGATTATTTGCCAGCAACTCTCTATAGGGCACCCAGTAATAACAGGTCTGCTTGCTTTTGTTTCTTTAGATGTGTTTTTGCTTACGGTTGCTTCTTCGCTTATTTCCTTTTCCCGAGCACATGTAAATTAGAAGAGTATGCTCTGAGCACTCGACTTTTTTACGGCTATTCCCGCAGCTTGAAATTTGCTTTTACCTGTGAAAAACAATTTTTTGTGCCAGTGCGGGATCGGTCTTTCCCTTTATTTACAGCCCTTGACCTTTTGCAAAAGTCCTATCGACTACCTGTTCCGCCGCCAGGAATCCAGCTTCGTTAGACCATCATCACCATGCCTTAAAATCACTAACAATATCAGGCTTTCAGGCCTACGCACTTATCGTAATTTGATGATTTGCAGTTACTGGTCCAAATTGGACGATGCAATACGCGCGACGGCATATCGAGGAGTGAATGTTCGACTTCTCATCAGCGATTGGAAATACTCGCGGCCTGAAATGATTTCTTTTTTGAAATCGTTGCAGGAAATTAATGACGGCTTACCAAAGAAACTAAATCGTTCTGGAAGAATTGAAGTGGTAAGAGTTTGCAGCTTCGGCCGGTGTCGTTTTGTATACAGGCTTTCTACGACCACAAATACCAGTTCCTTTTGTTCTGAGATCGACTACTGATTTAATACCGCTTGAGGGCACTAGGTGCACTTTTGAAGCGGCGTTAGTAATTTCAGCGCCAAAAAGTAATTTCAGCGCCATGGAGTGTGTTTTTTTTATATGTGTATGTTCGCTTGTGTGCATAGGTGTGTGTTTGTGTGTGCGTTTGTTCGGGTATGTCAATTCGGAAACCAGGCAGCCTTTGATGCTGGGATTTAGCCAGTGGGTTCCATGGCCGAGCACTGTTTCAGGGACATGGTACCAGCTTTCACGCATGCCCGAATCTCATATATGGGCAAGTGAAATTTTTGTCGAAAAAAACTGCTAAATCAGAAACCAGAACATCTGGGTCATTTTCAGTCTACTATTGGTCATCGAAAATTAATTTTCTTCGTGAAAAAATACGATAATGAATGCACAAGTTAAGTGTAAAGCAACAGCTATTCATATAATTTACAATTTGATTGCTTCAAGTTTAGCGCAAAAACGCATGATCGTGCTGCAAATCCGGTGCGCCGCAGCCTAATTTTTTTTTTTTTTT